GGAAGAGGCAGCTACAAAGATTCTCTCAGGCTCACTAACAGTCTTCTGTTTACAGCAGAGGTGGAGCACCAAGGTTGAACACCAAGAGACAGGGTGGGGAAGGGAAGGCGACAGGGACAGTATGAGGACTCACTCCAGGCCCCTTCCTTCACCTCGGCTGCCAAAATCTCATCATGCACGGCACACTACCCACCTGGAGAGAGTAAGAAGAGAAATTTCAGATCGACCCAGAGAGGGGACGCTGTCACCAAGGAAAGCAGGAAGACGAGCTCACACAGGGAGAAGGGTAGGGGCGTACAGGAGGGAGCTGCCAGGAAAGAGGAAAGAACACATTAAAAAAAAAAAAAGATTGTGAGATGAGGAATAATATCCCCGCCTCTCTCCCCTAACACCTCCACCTCCACCAACTCTGAAAAGCCAAGGAAGAAAGGAAAGGGTTCATTGACTGTGTTTTATAACTAGGGAAACTGAGGCCGCACCAAATCACACTTCAAAATCCAACAGCACCAGTCAGGCATGGTGTTAGGGTGATGTTATATGCCTGTAATACCAGCGCTGAGGAGGCTAAGGCAGGAGGATCACTGTGAGATGGAGGCCAATTTGAGTTACCTAGTGAGTTCAAGGCCAGTGTGAACTGCACAGCAAGAACTTGTCTCAAAAAAAAAAAAAAAAAAAAAAAAAAAACAACCAGCAGTATCAAACACCCAATGTGCCTTCTTGCTCATGCTTAGCCTCTACCAGCTGTGCCCTCTTCAGGTCCCTTCCTCCCTGTTGGCCTGTTGTTTAAAATCCAGCTAAGAGGCTGGGGATTTAGCTCAGTGGAATAAACACCTGCCTGGCAAGCGCTAGGTTGTGAGTTCGATCCCTGGTATCAAAAAAAAAAAAAAAATCCAGCTAAGAGTCAGGTGTGGTGGCATACACCTACTGTCCCAGCACTTGGGAGGATCATTGCACAGGAGGATCACTGCAAATTCAAGATCATCCAGGGCTACAAAGTAAGCTCAAGGCTAGCCTGAACTGCATAGTGAGACCCTGTCTCAAAAAGACCAAAAAACAAAATCCAGCTAAGATATACATATATGTAAATATGTATATATGTATATATGCACATGTGTATATGTGTGTGTGTGTGTGTGTATATATATATATATAATAGAATATTACTTGGTCATTAAAAAGAATGGAGCACTGATGTATGCTACAATATAGATTCCAAAAACACTACAATAAGTGCAGGAAGCCAAACACAAAAGGGCACATAACACATGACTTATAAGCAATATTCAGAATAGGTAATTCCACACAGATGGAATGTGAATTGGCCATTGCCAGAGACTGAGACAGGAAAAGCCAGGAGCAAAAGCGTAGAGGGTACAGGATTCCTTTTGACATGGTGACAAAGTTTTTTAATTAGATAAAGGTGATACACGACACTGAATATGCTAAACGCCACTGAAGTCTTCACTTTAAAATGTTTAATTTTGTTATGTGAGTTTCACTTTTTTTAAAATCCAGCTAAGGGCATATCTCCTTGAGCCTAACACCCCACCCCAGAGCCAGGCATGGTTCCTCTGTGCTTCAGTGGGCTCCAGAATGCACCCCCATACAGCATTCCCAGGGCTACAGCAAATCAAACATGCTTGAACACATCTCTCTGGTGAAAATTCACCCCTCCATTCCCTGTGCTCTGCATGGTGCCCAGAACACAGTGGCAGTACCTGACATGGTCAGCCAGAAGAGGGAAGAACTAAAGCCCAGCTCTTCGACTCTGCTACCAGACCTCTCCCAACAATGGCCATCAAGTGGAAGCCAAGTCAGTCTGGCTAATCTTTACTGACACTTCCTTTGAGCATCTAACAGATGCTCAAAGAAAAAATCCGGTCCAGATTTTTTCACTGCGTCTTCATGATTCTAAGAGGTGGAACCTATTATTAACTCCGTGTAACAGGTGAGGCCTCAGAAAGTTACATATTTTGTCTGAAGTCAAAGCATTAGGGTATGGATGAGCCTCATTTTTTTTTTTTTTTTTTTTTTTTTTGAGACAGGGTCTCACTATGCAGTCCAGGCTGGCCTGAGGCTCACTTTGTAGCCCGGGTTGGTCTCAAATTTGCAGTGATCCTGCTGCCTCAGCCTCCTGAATGCTGGAATTACAAGAGTCACCACCATGCCCAGCTCAAAGCCAGAATTTAAGAGCAAACTGAAATCAAGGGAAGGAGACCATGGGGAACTGGGATTCCTTACGGATGGGTTGGTTCAGTGTTGAGTCTGGGCTTGGAGGATGGTGCCGGAGACACCTACAAGGTTCAGGAATAGGATTTAATAACTTTCCCAAGGTCATACTGCTATTGAAGTATTAATTCCAACCAACTTTGACTCCTGTCTTTGACCTCCCACTGCAGGTAGCTGTTAAAGAAAGAGTAAGCAAAGACTGGAGAACATAAAACTCAAAGGGGACTACGGGAGTCCCAGATCTCTGCCTCCAGAGGAGGTCTGTCTTGCTCTAGGGCGAGGGAAATGAGAATCTGTCCTCAGACCTAGGAGAGCTAGATGAAGCAGAAGGAGACAGCGGAGAGGCCTGCCCTGAAGAATTAGAGGAAATAAAAAGCAGAAGCAAAACAATGGAGGAGGAGGGGCTGAAGTGGCCAGTGGGTCCCAGTCTGGAAGTACTATCTGAAATAGCACTTCCTATTGTCTGACCACATTTCCTCTGCCTTGAAAAAGTGCCCCCACCAGGGAGGATGTGCACGTGGCAAGTGTACACAAGAACCAGCAAGGTACCCTAGAAAGCTGGACCACATCATCCTAGACGCAAGTGCCTAGGTAGCCCCCAAAACGCTAACCATCCGAGAGATGTCCTGATTGAAGGAATCAAGCATTTTTAAGAAAGAAAATCTTGTCTTTTCCTACTCTGCTCCCGTTCCTAGTCCTAACACTGTCTAACCCTCACAACTCTTATTCCTGAACCTTAGTAAGGGTAGGGAGCCTCAAGAGGGAACATTCCAATTGCACATGCCCATTAGAGACTCTAACATTCCAATTCCATTGCCCAGAGACCCTAATGGCCATGTACAATCACAGCCTCAGCTCTTAAAATTCCGCATCTCAAGCTAACAAGCAAGAGACAAATGGCTGAGAGCATGCAATAGCTCAACAAGCCTTGCAACCTAAAGGAGATGCCAGTCCCTCCTTTCCTTCACCCCAAAAGAGAAAGGACAAGAGAGAAGAAAGAGAAAGGTGGCAGCTACTATGGAGAAAGACATCCATACTGATTCCGTATCACACTGTCTCGCCCATGAATACAGATCCCTTCCTACCATACTAACATCTGTCCTCTCAAAAGCTCACACACATCTCCACCCTAATCAAGCTTCTCACCAGAGAAAACAGAAATTGCTTACGAAACTCGTGAAAGAAACACCTCCACGCCAACTTCTCAGTACCATGCATTGGAGACCCTACTGTGTCTCAGTCCTCCAGTGATGCTGCTGCCTCTCCCCCTACCTCACACCAAAATTCAGACTCTTCAGGAATCTGAGATTCTAAAGGCAGGGCAGAGCTGGGGGACTCCGAAGCAGCCAGTTCCAACACAGCTGTCCAAGAAAACTGTGGCCTGACAGGGCTGCACAGAGACATGGAAGCCAACTATGTGGCCTCTCCCAGCTCCTCTTATTCCCATCCCTAGCTCCTCCAAGCCCCCAAATTCCTGTAGGACTACAAACCACCAAAAAACCCATCTTCCACAGCAGGCACCTCCCAACACACCCCTCCCACCTGTCTGTCTCCCATACTCCAGGCACTACCCTTGAGCCCAGGCAGGGCCATCCAAAACGCCTCAAAATCCTGCACACACCCTTCCCCGTGGCTTCTTGCCAGGAAAATCTGCCTGCAGAAACATGAGGTACCCCAACACACACTGTGAAATACACACCCCCAGCTGAGGCAGGTACACACACTGACACTCTTCAACATAGATCACAAACATGAGAACACAGATACACTCACACCCCTTCCCAGGACACAGGTGCACACATATGTATTTACATATACCCTGTTCTGCTCTTACATACCCACCTTCCTTAGTATCCATCCACCTCTTTCCCATAAGCCCCTCTTCCAGCACACACACACCAACACACACCCCTTCCCCTGCGCATACACACATATACATCTTCAAACACCCAGCAGATGCATGGTCTGCCGCTCCCTGGGTGCGCACACACACTCAAGCACTGAAACACACCTTCACATCCAGACCCTGGGGCCCACCTGCAGGTACACGCAGTGCATCAACGCGTGCACATACACAAAAACAAAGAATCATGCACACTGATCCTCCAGCAGCCCTTTAAAACGCATTATCGCAGAGCACACGGGTAAACAGGAGTCCAGAAGAGGATGCCGGCACCAGCCCCCCTCCAGGGCCCCCATTACTAGTGTCCACATCTTTTGCCACCAGCCTCGTCCTCGGGTTGCGCACACACACACCCTCTACAGTCCCCAGCCGGTTCCCCAGGATCCAGTGTGCACTCTGAACGCATACCTGTCCTCGTCTCTCCACACTCTCGATATGTGCATGCACCCCTAAACTCCTTTGGCTTCCAGTACCTCCAGACTTAGTCCTTCCACTGGATCTTCTCCCAACCTCCAACACAAGCTTGGTCTTCGGCTTCGACCGGCTCCCCGGGGATCATTAAGGCCCCCACAGGAGCCCCAGGCCGAGTAAAGTCCCGGGCTCTCCAGGCCTCGGCTTCTCCCCTCCCCACGCACGCCCCTTCCCCTCTCCAAAGTTGGGGGGCACTCCGCGCCGCCTTCGGCGAGTGGACCGGAAGGGGGCTGTGCCAAGCCCCCCTTCCTCCATAGGCCTCCCCGCTGGCTCTGGGGCCGGGCACCTCCTGGCCCCTAGCATGATTGCCTTCGTTTTCTGCTTCTGGTTTTCCTTTCTTTCTTTTTTTTTTTTTTTTTTGCAAACTTTGCCCGCGCCCCCGCGGCCCGGCACTCACCCGCCGCTGCGAACCGCCGGGTGGGCTAGGCGGGCACTCCGTTCGGCCCGGCGCCTTTGTATCCGCAGCGCTCTGGGTCTCTCAGAACTCCGAGCTTGGACCGGCAGTGCAGGCGACGGGGGGTTCCGAGGGGGGCTCCCGAGTCTGCTCACCCCCTGCTCCGTCCCAAAGCGCTCGCCTCGTCCCCCTCAAGGCCCCGGGGGCAGGGGGCGGGGGAGCGGATGGAAGGTGCTCAAGCTCCCATGGCGGGACCAAGGACCAAGGAATCAGGGATCAAGAATCGGATCGCGAGCCGGCGGCGGAGGGGGAGGGGCGGGGGAGGGGACGGGTGCAGGGGGCGGGGAGCGCGCGCTCCGGGCTCCGCCTCCCGGCTGTTCCCGCCGTCGCCCCCCTCCCGCTGCGCGTCCATTGTCTGCGGCCCCGCTCTTCCCGGAGTCGCCGCGCCCCTGCCCTTCCCTTCGGGTCCTGGGTGGCTCGGCGGGGTCTCGACCCCGGCCCCAAGCTGTAGGCGGGATGCGAAGGGGCTCCTCGGTTCCTGGTCTCGGCCCAGCCCGTATCCCCCTTGTGGCTGACTTCCTTGACCCCCTGGACCGGTGGCAGTCGGAGCCCCCAGGCCCCCAGCACTGGCCGCATTCTCTTCTTTAGGGCCTCAAACCTGGCTGCACGAAATCCAGTGGAATCTGAGACGTGGGAAGACTGAATTTTTTCCCCCTAGAGCTGCGAGAGGGGAGGGTTATCCCTGATTTTAATTAGTGACAAGACACACGCCCCTCTTCCCATCCACACGGGGATTTCCCTGACACCATCACCACCACACGCACGCGCGCACACACACACTCGTCCAAAAATAATTTAATTACCCGGTGTTCTAGCTGCGAGCAGCGACCGCCCAGTCAGTCTGGGACGATCCGTCATTAACACTTTTTCCTCCCCTCTGGTTGGAGTGTTAGGATTAATTACAAAGGGAACCCTGCCCGGGGGTGGGGGGAGGACTAGAGTAGGGCGCCAGCTAGTTTAGAAGGCGGAGGAGAGAGGCCCTTTCTCCAAGGGAACCTCCAGGAGAAAATGTATTAGCGAGCAAGTTCCTAACCCCAAGCAGACAGGGCTGACCTCCCCAGGAGTCCGAGATACATTATAGAGAGTTAAGGGTGCTCCACAGAAATCATGGGTTGTCACAAAATATCGGAGCAGTGGGAGCATTTCCGCCTCAAAGCATACTAAGAAACTGGCCAGGCTTCAAAAAGTGGGCTATAGATCTGAACCCACCCAGACAACTCCCACTGTGAAGTTCTGTCTGTGGGACCTCCGTGTTCCCTTTGGAGTGAGTGAAAGCAGAAGTATGATTTTATTACCACTGGTATTATTGCTGTGAACCTGCCACTTACCCAGAACTGTACCACTTCAAAAGCATCTTCACACACTTCTCCCCCAAGCAGCTGGACCATCCCACCCTCCTCCAGCTTCCAATTTCCTCCCAACCCTGTGATTAAGAAATGCCAAGGAAGGAGACTCCCAGCGTCTGTTCTTCACTTGTTTGGGGATATTTGCTCCTCCGTGATGAAAATATTTTCTTGACATTTAGTCTCACTCTTTTGCTTATATATTCTGACCTGTCACCAAAATAAGGACAGAGCCATCTGTGTCCCACTGTTACTGTTCAAAGGTAAAGAATCTGAAACACTTCCTTTCTCTTTTGACCCAGCCCTTCCCTCTTCTGATTTCCCTCTCCCCATATTATGGGTCAACCAGTGACACAGCACCAAGAAATACACAGAATGGTCGTTTCAGGTGTTCTAGGAGCCACATGCACAGAGGCACTCATTCACCTGTGTATAAGCCAGGGCTGCACTGGGGGTCTTGGAAGAGATCACAGCCAGGTATAAGAGACAAGAGGCAAGACAGCTGGGGAAGGATAAAAGGTAGTAGGAGGGCATGGGTGTCTTCAGCCCTGCCCAGAGCACTCTTCTAGTGCCAGGCAACGAGTGTGTAATTTGACACAATATTGGGACTGCCATGGCGCCATCTCACTCTCTGGCAAGTTTAGCATGAATTATGTTTACATATTGCTAGGCTATTTTCCAGACCTTGGAAGGATCCAAAGAATTGCAAAAGGGCTTCTGACATAAAAATTACAGATAATTCTGTAAACTGGTCGTACCTAAAGGTTAAAGTCCAAGTCAGGATATTAGTAGATGAACCTATAGGATTAGCAGATCTCAGGCATCAGACTGGGATAAACTCACTCCTTCCTTTCTCTGCTGAGGGTGAAATTAGGAGCTGTCAATTATATCTCTGTCCTGAAAACACCAGGTTCCAGAGAAGAGGTCCAATATTAAATCTAATTGCTATAGTGCATCCTATCTAGCAATCCTTTGGACTACCCTCCACCCTCAACCTTAGGATGCAATTCCATCAGGATTTCACATACCCTCAACTCAGAGTGAGGAAATAGAGACCCCAAAAGAAGGCTTTATTTGTGCTACACTGCAGAGGAGCTAGCTTAATCTGTTAGGAGGGAGGAGAACTGTGAAATAGGTGACATCCAACCAAGACTTTCTCAAGGGGATCAACCTGGGATGACAGGAAGGCCAGGGGCCTGAAGGACAACTGTACTTCAATGGAACACACTTTAGTCAGACCCTAGCCTTAACGATATAGGGGAGCTTCTAAATTTCTTCCATTCTCAAGTCCACTTACACAAAAGGTCTAGAGACTGTTTTAAAGAAATGTGTCTGATTGCTAAAATTGACAAGGGGTGGACTGTAATGGTTGATATATTGTGTCAACTTGAGAAGTATAGAAGTTTAACTAGGTGACTCAGCAGGGGTCCAGGGTCCTCATTTTGTAAACATCTTGAGCCAGTGCAGGAGGAGGGCACAGAGATGGTATTTGTGCTACCACCCTAAGCCTGCTTACAATATAAGAGAGGAAAAGAGGCTTTTGTTCTTGCTGCTTGTGCTGTCTTGTGCTGCCTTGAAGTGTTACCCCTGTGCCATGTCACCCTGCCTTGCAGTCAACTGATTATGGATTGAAACCTTCACAAACTATGAGCTAAATAAACTTTCCTTCCTTAATTTTGGGCGTCACGTATTTTGTCTCAGCAATGGGAGAAAAGTAACTAAGACTGTTTTTCTACTCAAACACAGAAGCTTCACATAGTAGTTAATAAAAGTGACTAGAAATTTCAGCCACCTCTCAGGTGCAGGTGACCACAGTAATGGACCCACATGGCAGGCTACAGTCACCTCTTCTTGCATCCCTGTTGATTAACCTGGGGACAGTTCCATCCCCAGGACATTTAAAGCTCTTTTCCCAGGATGCCATTTCCTAGAAGGTCTACTCTTAATACTTACGAAAGTATTTCCAGGCCCAATATATACCATGGAATCAATGAGTACTTTCTTTTTTAGTTAAAAAAAAAAAAAAAAAAAAAAAAAAAGAGGAAGAGGGTGGAGGAGGAAGAGAGAAAGTGGAAGAAAAAGAGAAAGAGAAAGGAGAAAGAGTAGAAGAGGAATAGCAAGATAACATACAAAATCCCTTAACTGGTCAAGAGCTCTGCTGAATTTTAAGTCGTTATAAGGTGCCTCCCTGTCACATGAGATCTTGATCTCCTTGAGAACAAGGACTGCTCCTCATTCATTTCTGCATCTCTGACATGTAAGAGTCACTAAGGCGGTGTCAGGCCTTCTCCTCTAATTTCCTTCTCTTTCTCTGATTCACATCTATCCCAAATCTGTGCCACTCTGTTCATCCTACCTTTATTAAGTGTAAGTTTCCTTCAATCCAATTTCATTATCACCAATCTAAAAAGTTACCTACAAATTACACCAGTGGTTCTCAACACTGACTGAAGATTTTAATCACTTAGGAAGCTTTGTAATCATACTACGACCTTGTATCCATTCTAAACTAATTCAACCAGAAACTTCCGAGGTGTGACTCTACCCCTGGCATGTTTTTAAAACTACTTTAGTGATTTTGTAAGTTCGCCATATAAGGGAAAACCTGTAATATTTAACTTTCTAAGTCTGGCTAATTTTACTTAACATGATGGTTTCTAATTCCATTCATTTTCCTGTAAATGACATGATTTCATTATTAAAAGCAGAATAATACTTAAAAATGCAAAAATAAATAAATAAATAAATAAATAAATAAGAGGTGATGGAAAACCAAGGTGTAGACTTTTTGGAGACCAGGAAGAAGAAGGAAGAAGAGACAGGATTGAAAAAGATCAAGATACGTTAAACACACGTACCAACTTCCCAAAACAACAACAACAAAAAGTTTAATAATTCTAATGTAAGAATCACTAAGTTTTAAAATATCACTAAATTAAATTTGGTTTCCTTCCTCCTTTATGAGAAGAATGAATGTCCACCCCATCTCTCTTGCCTAGGACTAATCCTTCCAGGTGTGCATTGGCTTGTGCCTTCTCCCCTCTCCATCCATTATCTCCAATATCTCCTGCATCTAACTTTAACCTCTTGGCTCATCTTTAGCAAATAGACATGAAAAAATCAAGTACCTCCCTCGTTCAGCAGCCTTCTCTTCTTCAGCACTTCTTTCCTTTTTTCTTGGATCACTTATTTGTGGTGCTAGAGACCAAACCCCCAGGCCATCAGGCACGTTAGGCAAGGACCCTACCACTGAGCAACCTTCCCAGCCCTCATCTTAGCTTTTTGAAGTAGATTCTTCACCACCATCCTTCTCACTCCCTTTACTGTAAAGCTTCCTGCCACCCAGCTGTGTTGTCTGTCTTCCCACTTCCTGACTTCAAACACTGATGTTTCCCAGAACTCTGCCTTTGGCCCCTTTATTTCTCACTCTATCTGTCCCCCAAAGCAATGTCATTCCATCTTATTAATTCAGTCACTGCTCACTTATTAATGCTCCTAATTCCAAGTCTCATTCCTGAGCTTCAGACTCATATTTTCAGCTTCCTACAGAACATTTGAACTTGGCTATTTCTTTGGTTTCTTAAATTTGTAGGATTACAAAATAGCACAGTATATTCCATCCACCCCATCCTCTTGGCTTATTCAGATCTTTATCCCTTCCAAACATGTCTCAGTCTCTCCCAATCCAACTTCTTCCTTCTTGGTAATATGATTTTTGTTTTCTGCAAGACAGATCAGCTTGTCACTTCCTTACCTGGAAGAATCCAATGGCCAGGCATGGTGTACCACACGTCTGTGACCCTACCCCTTGGAAGACTGAGGAAGGAGGATTGCCACAAGCTTGAGGCCAACCTGAGCTACATAGTGAGTTCAAGGCCAGCCTGAACTACATAATGAGACCCTGTCTT